GGAATCCTCAGGGTCGTGTGGGGGGTAGGGTTTGTCCACTCCGTCTGCGCCTCGTGCGGTCACCCTCAGGTAGCCGATGAAAAGGGATCGGGCAGGCCGAAACACAGCTGCATGATTGCCGTCAAGCAACGTGGTGCCCCGCGATGTCCAGAAAATATGTGTCACCGGTTGCTGTTCTGGTCGTCTTTCCTTGATGTGAAACTATGTATCCTCGACGACAGCCTGAAGTAAATAAATCGCACCACATGCTGGAATATCATGACAATATGGATCGTTGATTTGGCAAAGGGAAGGGAACAGAGAAGGACGAGCGAGGTGCCCAACAGCAGGCAGGGGCAGTGGGGAGAAGGGGTTGTCACGGATTCCGCCAGCTCCGTGCCAGGGTTGAGTGTGCGTTCCAGCGGAGGTGGTCTCCGTCTGCTCTCTCGCACCATCGGCGAGAAGAGCGTCTGCCCCAGACTCGGAAGATACAAAAATCCGAGCTTTCGTATCCTAGCAAATGCGCGGGCCCTGGTGATTTGCCCCGACCGTCTAGTGGGCGTGTGTGGCGAAATTGGGGTCCCCGGGCATCTCACTGGGAAACGGTCGGAACTTCTGCACGAGAATGGGGGGAAGGGGAAAAAAGGGAGGAGGAGGAGGAGGAGGAGGAGGAGGGGAAGGAGAAGAGAAGGGATAAGGCAGGAGGGAGGAGGAGGGAGGAGGAGCAGGAGGCAAACGAAGGCGTTGTCCCTCCTCGCCGCTCCTGGTCTGAAGCCGAGGGCGGGACCCGCGCCCCGCCCCTCACAGGGCAGCGCTACGCCGGCGGCGTCAAAAGTCCAGTCTCGCCGCCGCGCGCGCGCCGGCGGCCAAGGAAGGCCCTCGCCACGGCCGCCAGCTCTTCCAACCCCTCCTCCTCCTCCTCCTCCTCCTCCTCCTCCTCCTGGTCTTCTTCCTCATCACCACCACCACCATCATCATGAAGACCATCACCATCATCATCATCATCATCATCATCATCATCATCATCATCATCATCATCATCATCATCATCATCATCATCGTCATCATCATCATCATCATCATCATCATCATCGTCGTCATCATCATCACCATCAGCATCATCATCATCATCGTCCTCAGCATCAGCATCACCATCATCATCATCATCATCATCGTCATCATCATCATCAGCATCCTCAGCATCAGCATCAGCATCATCATCATCATATCATCATCATCATCATCATCATCAGCAGCAGCAGCAGCATCATCCTCAGCATCAGCATCATCGTCATCCTCAGCATCATCATCATCGTCATCATCCTCAGCATCAGCATCAGCATCATCAGCTGCATCAGCAGCAGCAACATCATTATCATCACCATCGTCATCATCACCGTCACCATAATCATCATTGTCATCACCATCATCATCATCATCATCATCATCATCATCATGATCAGATTCAGCATCATCATCATCATCATCATCATCACCATCATCATCATCATTGTCATCACCATCATCATCATTGTCATCACCATCATCATCATCGTCATCCTCAGCATCAGCATCGTCATCGTCATCATCCTCAGCATCAGCATCCTCATCGTCATCATCCTCATCATCCTCATCCTCAGCATCAGCATCATATTCATCCTACTCCTCATGACCACCACCACTACCACCACCACCGCCCCCGAGAGGGGAGAGGGTGGGAGGGGGGTCGGACGGGCCGGCGGGCCGAGGGCCTCCCCCCTGCTCGGGAGGCCGGGCGCGGAGGAAAAAGACAACTGTACAGCCGCGGGGGGCCCCGCCGAAGGGCGTGCGGCTCGGACCGCACGGGCGAGGCAACGGGAAAAAGCACACACAGTGGGAAAAAACACACACACACACACACACACACACACACAAAACACACCGTGGGGAAAAAAAAAACACACAGTGGGAAAAAAAAAACACACAGTGCGCTTTTGTCCCACAGTGTGTTCTTTTCCCACAGTGTGTGTTTTTGTGTGTGTGTGTTTTTTCCCGAGTGACCCTGCAGGAAGGCGACAACCCACCCCCCCACCCCCAATCCCGGCCCCATCCCCGAAGCCGCGATCCAGGGGAGCCGGGACTGGGGACGGGGGTGGTTTTTCGGGGCCCAGAGACATGGAGAAAACCCACCCCCGCCCGCAGTCCCGACCCCCTGAATTGGAAGCAAGAACGTAAACATTCACTTTTGGCGCTCCGCGCGGATTTCTTAGATTCGCGCTGGACCCCCCTCCCTGGCCCGCGGAACGCGCCATGGGGCGGCGCAGGAGGCGCCGCCAGGGGGCCCAGGCGCGGATCCAAGAAATCCGCGCGGAGCGCCAAAAGTTTGTGTTTATTTGGTTCGTCCTTCTTCGATGGATCGCAGGCTCGGGAAGTGGCGTCGGGGCTGGGGGGGGGGGTCGCCTTCTGACCCTGGGAAGAGTGACCTTTGGCGCGTGGCTTTTTGGGGGCGTCGGGGGGGGGGGAGGGCAACACACAAGCGCGCAAGTCGCTGCAACCTTTTCGCTTGTACAGCAATCCAGGAACCCATCTGTGCCCGCACCAGAGGTCACTCCACTCCGGCGAAGGGTCACTCTTATGTCTAGTCGAAGCACGCGGGTGATAGCAACTCGGCTGGAAGGACGCCGGCCATCAGCCCGCCCTGGCCCTGGCCTGGTAGGTACCCGTCGGTCGGAAGAGGTGGGCAGAAACACATGAAGTAGGAAGGCGCTGAGGCTGGATCTCCACCCTCTTCCGTGAAGAGGAGGGAAGAGGGAGGAGCGTTCGACGCTTGAAGTAGGACGGCGCCGAAAGTAGATTGGGCTCTGGGAAGCCGAAAAGTCAGACTTCCAACGACCGAAGGGTACCGTCGGACCTAGGCCAGAAGAACACCCTCCAAGAACACGAGACACTCTGCCAGCCAAGACAAACAGAACATCCAAGGGTGCCCTCCTAAGACGAAGCCAGGACGAGGATTAGGTAAAATCGTGTGAGGTTTGAATCAAGAATCTCTGAGATCTGGCGGCTCTGGAGGATGTCTCAGGCGCCGCGACCTTCTGCGTTCCTGAACGCTCTGGGAGCGTTCCGGAACGCTCCGGAACGGATTTGTCCCCGACCTAGCCCCGTCCGAACATCCAAGGGCACCCTCCCCAGGATGCACAAGAACGCCCGACAAACACGAACATCATCAGGGCACCCTCCCCGAATCGACCTCGATCTCATACCTCGGTCCGGCTGTACGGTCGGATCTGGGCCAGAAGAACCTCCCTCCAGAGCGTGAGACCCCCCGTCGGCCAAAACAGACAGAACATCCAAGGATGCCCCCCCAGGACGCACAAGGACGCCCAACCACAGCGGGGCAAACCAGGGCCCCCCCCCCCGAAGCGACCTCGATCATGTCTACCTCGGTCCGACTGCACGGCCTGCAGGCCCGGCCAGGGACGCCCGCGCGCCAGCCCTGGGCCCAGGGCTCTGGCCCGGGCCCAGGGCCGTCGCCCGGCATCGCCCGTCTCCCGTGCACGTGTTGGGTCTCGTGGGTGTTCGTTTGCTCGAGGGTCCAGGGTGCTCCTCGATTTCGGTGGCAACTCGCGGGCGCCTCCCATGCCATCTTGTCGGCTCTTGCGAGTCGACGCCAGTAGACGATGAATCGACGCCAGTCGACGCTAAATCGACGCCAATCGCCGCTGACCGACGCAAAATCGGCGCTGCCTCACCGACTCCCAAACGCTAACCGACGCTGAAGACGTAATTAAGAGGTATACCAGGCTCACGTGATTTGCTACCGAATGCGTGTTCTTTTGCTCGATGGTCCAGGATGCTCCTCGATGGTCCCCGATGGGAAACATGCACACGTCCGAGCGATGCCAGGTGGGTGGACAGTCGGCGTCTCAAGACGGGCGCGGGGTGGCTCAGTACCCCATGGCCGCCTTCACGGCGTCATAGCACCGCAGCTTCGAGGGCAAGTAGAACTCCTCCCGAGGGTCGGCCGGCCACCGGAAGAGGCAGGGTGCCGAGGGAGAACAGACCCTGCGGAATCAACCGAGACACGCAGACCCGTCCGACAACGGCCGGCGTGGGCCGCTTTCTGAACATCTGTAGAAGCTGGATGTTGCCGGAGGTGGCAAGGGTGACCTCCAGAGCAGCCCCCACAAGGACCAGGGGACCAAGAGGACCCCGGGTGCCCAGAGTGGCACGACTAGCCAGAGGCGCCTTGGGCCAGGGCCCCTTCTGGCAGCACCCGAAACAAGCCCGTTTGTATTCTGGCCCCTCCTGGCCATTTTCGGGGAGACGTAAGACCCGGGTACGGGGGACTCGGAAATCCCCGACGAGGTCGTCGAAAAAATGACGAGGCCGAGCCAGCATTTTGACGAGGCCTCCCGCTGCAGACATCCCACGAAACTCCTCCTCGTCAAAATCCGAGTCGCGGTCGTCAAAAAAAAATGGCGAACCCGAGTCCTGGCAAACCCGGGTCTTACGCTCCCCCGACATTTGGCCATTCGGGTGGCCAACGGACTGCGGAGCTGACCAGCCTCGACCTTCTCCCTGGCCCTCAGACTGACAAAGCCAGAGGCGACGACAATCTCACGGATGCGCCCTCGGAGACTGACGGAACCCTCAAGATCGGCATCAAGATAATGTCACAGCAACCATGAGAGGGGTATACCCAGACCCCCGACGTCATGATTTTTTCCTGACGCGACCCCCAAAGGCCGGGCCCCATTCCCGGGACCGGTTATTCACCCTGAGTCGTTTTGTTGACGGTCCCTAGGTCCTGTAAGAGCCCCTGGAGGCCAAAAATACGGAAAAACCTTCCGTGGTGATTTTTTCATGACCCGAGGGGGTCTGGGTATGTTTCAAGCTGGAAAAGATCCTCCTCCTCCTCCTCCTCCTCCTTCTCCTCCTCTTCCTGCTCCTCTTCCTCCTCCTCATCCTCCTCCTCCTCCAGCTCCTCCCACACCAGCGGGAACGGCGTGTCCCAGCCGCACACGCGCTGCACCGGCGCCTCGAGGTGCAGGAAGCACCGCTCCTGCACCGTGGCCGCGACCTCGGCCCCGAACCCGCTGGTCTTCGGGGCCTCGTGTTGGGTCGGGCGTGTCCTCCTACGGGCGAATGAGGAAAGATTGGCAAAACTCCAAAAATATGTAAACATGGTCGAAAAAATAGTCCAATTATCGTCTCAAGACTACTTCGTGACTGCTTGTGAATTGTCCTCCTGTGGAGGGACGCGCCCGGCCGAGGCCTCGTGGGCCACGAGGCACCGCCCCGTCTTGGACACGGACTCGACGATGCACTCCTCGCGGAGCGGCGCGCCCAGCGCGGCAGGCAGAGGGGGGGGCAGGCCTGCTCTCGGAGGGCGGCGAGGCTCCTCGGAGGCCCTCGGGCCTTCTGGGAAGCCCAGCCGCCTGCGTCTTCAGGGGAAGCTGAGAGCGAGACGCACACCGCACATCGACATACTAGTGCTATGTGCCCTCCTTGGAGGCGCGCGTCCGACCCGAACATCCAGCATACCAGTCCTGTCGTACATCGCTCCCCGAGCGGTATGGCCAGAAAGCGCCCGCCGCGACGCATATACTATTGAGACTTCTCACTGCGCGCGTCGCCCCTGGGGGGGCGACGCACACATAGCACCAGCATGCTGGGGTAATGCCGATGGAGAGCTGCTCAGAAGACCCGAGGCCTCCTGAGCCTTCTGAAGAGGCCCGCCCCCATCCGCCTGCCCCCCCGCGAGGCGCCGCCGATCCTCGTCCCAGGGCAGGATCGACATCAGGTCGATGACCTCGCAGGAGACGCCGTCGGCAGCGGCCAGGTCGGCCGTCTCGAGGAGGCGGTTCACCTGGTTGCCCCAGCCGACGAGCGTGATGTCCGTGCCCTCCCGCAGTACCTCGGCCTTGCCCAGCGGCAGCTCGAAGTCGCCCTCGGGGACTTCCTCCACCGCCTGCCTGTACCTCAAGAGTCGATCGTTCGAGCTCCCGGGGGGGGGGGGGACGCTGGTCCCACCAGCCCTCTGGGCCGAGGTGGTCTAGAGCGCTTCCTCTTCCAATCTCCCTTCCCTTCGGGGAGGGGTTCCTCAGTGCTCCTTACTGATATACGCCCCTCCCCCACTGCACTGGCCACCGATCAGGGCCAATGCCAACACCCCCCTCACCATCCCCGTCACGATGTGGCAAAATCTGCATAATGTATGGGGGCCCCGCGATCACTTTACACGGATCTATGCTGACCGTCGGAAGGAAGAGAGCAGCACACTGCCCCACGTGCGTAGGCCCACTCAAAAACCAATGCAACGCGCACGCTGTGGCAAAATGTTTGATCGTGCGCTGGCGCCCCGCGATCATCTTGTGTCAGATCCACGCGCGCGCTTCGTGCGCGCGACGGTTCTAGCGCAGTCCATGGCGCTGTGATGAAGCGCAGGTGAAGCAATCCTGGGCCTCCCCTTGTCCTCCCCCCTCCCCATCCCGGCCCGAATCGTTCTAACGGCGGCCTGAGGCTCGACTCACGGCCCCGAGCACGAACTGGATGGAGGGAAGCAGGAGGCACAAGCCAGGCGCGCTCGCGTCATGTCTGGCATCCTGCCTCTCCCACCCATCCCTTCTTATTGCGCTGATGTCTTCTCTAGCTGCCGATGCGTGTCATAGCGGACCTGGAACTCCCCAAGGGACCCTTTATCGTGTGATGCGCAATCGGGAAGGGGGAGCTGCGCACATTGGAGGAGAGAACGGATAAGCGGCAAGCTGAGCAGGAGGAAAGAGAGGAGGATGAGGAAGGAGAGCGATGACGAACAGCAGCTGCAAGAACTGTACGATTTAGAAGGAGCAGGAGGCGCCTGACGACCAGAGAGGGGACGGCGGAGGGGAGAGGAGGGGGGGCGACGACGACGACGAGGAACGACGCCAGGGCGAGAGAGCCATGCCGAACGCGGGGGGCGAAGCGCCGATCCTAGAATGAGGCCAGCGCTGCAGCGGCGGCACCACTTCGAGGCACCGAAGACGTCCCGACCCGACCAAAATACCGAGAAACCAACCCCGCGAAACAAAAAAACATGCGCGACAAAAAACAAGATGCGAAGGCGCCGGCGGCACCACCTTGAGGCACCGAAGACGTCCCGACCCGACCAACATACCGAGAGACCAACCCCGCGGAACAAGAAATCCTGCGCGGGAAGAAGCAGGACGCGGAGAGGGGGGGCGGGCCACTCCCTGTCGCCGTCTTTTTTGGGGAGGAGAGGAGAGCGTAGTAGTCGTGTTTCCTCCTCCTCCTCCTCCTCCTCCTCCTCCTCCTCCTCCTCCTCCTCCTCCTCCTCCTCCTCGTCCTCCGCCTCCTCCTCCTCGTCCTCATCCTCCTCCTAGTCTCTTCCTCCTCCTACACCTCCACCTTCTCATCATCCTCATCCTCATCCTCATCAGGTGGTTCAGCGAGCGCGGGCCTTTGGGGATCGGCCCGCTTTCCGCGAACCCCCAGACGCCGCTGGCCCTGCCAAGGGCGGCGGTGCACCATCCCGACGCTCAGGCGGCGCCATAGCCGCTCGCGATCGCCGGCGTGGCACCGCAGGCTGCGGAGGAAGCGGGCTAGCGCGCGGGCCACCCTGCGCCAGGCCGCTGCGCGCCAGACGCTGGCTGGGCACCACGGCGAGCACGTCGAGGCGCAGCCCGTGGCCATGCCGCCGCCTGCTGCAGCTGCTGGTGCCGCTGACGCTGCTGGCCGCAAGGTGCTCCTGGGGCCCAAGGAGCCCCACTGGCGCTGCCCAGGATGCCGCCAGGGGGGGCTCTGGGCCAACAGAGTGGTGTGCTTCTGCGGGCGCGACGCCCCTGGCCCCGTGGTGCGCAAGGCCAGGCAGGCCCACCAGGAGGCCTGGGCCAAGCGCGGGTCGGCAGCGCCCAGGGCCCGTTCACAGCCCCGCCAGCCTGGCCCTCGGCAAGGGGGCGGCAGCGACGCGCCTCGGCTCCAGCGGCTCGAGGCGGGCGTGGCCAACATCACCGCGGCGCTGGAGAAGCTCACGGCAGGCGGAAGCAGCTGCGCCGCTGGCCTACGCGGCGGACGCGGCGCCCTTGACACAGGCGCTGCTGCCCTTCCAGCCCCAGAGCCGCCAGTGGATCCAGCCATCCAGGAGCTCGAGGGCAAGGTCGCCAGCCTGGAGCAGACCATCCCGACGTTGCGCAAAGGTGGCATCGACGTGGGGCAACTCGAGCAGGACCTGGCAAAGCTCAAGCAGCAGCGGGTGGCAGCGCGAGGGCCGCAGGCGGAGGTCAGCTCGCTGGGCGCCAAGCTTGACCACGCCAAGGCCAAGCGGGTGCAGCTGCAGAACGAGCTCACCGAGAAGCAGAAGGACGTCGCCGAGGCAGAGAAGCTCGTCGAGGAGGCGAAGAAGGCAGTGGCCGACCAGGAGGCGGCGATTGCTCAGGCCGCCGCGAACATCACCGAGCTGGAGGCCAGCCTCAACCAGGCCATGCGGCGGGCCATGCCGCTGGGCCAGCCAGGCCGACCACCCGAGGCCCAACGCGACGCCGAGCGTTTCTTGGCCATGGCACCTGAAGCAAAGAACCCGGGACCTGATGTACTGGCCATGGTCGCCAAGCTTCTCACCAAGCACCTCATGTGGACCGCCTCCCAGGGGAAGCCCCCAGACGGCCAGAAGGGTGATGGCGGTGAGAACATCCCGACGCCGATGGACGAGAGCCTTGGCGACACTGATTTTGAAGAAGTCTGCAAAGCGTGCAAATCCGAGGACAGCAAGAGGGCTCTTGAGGACCTGTGCCAGCGCATGGGAATGCGCAAGCGGCAGCGGCTTTAGCACATGCAGAAACGGTAGCAACGTCGACGAGGGGACGGACGGCGGCTCGCGTGGGGACGAGAAGCGACATGTTCACCTCATTTTTGCGACGGCAAATATCACATCTTGGGGCACAGGGCGCAGCATCCTCCCGCTCGTGTCCGATCCTTTTCGTGCAGGAGCACAAGCAGTCACAGGGGCGACTCTTGGAGGTCAAACGCACGCTGAGGCACGAAGGCTGGGCCATGGCTTGTGCTCCAGCCATCATTAAGGTGAAGGACTTCCAGGGCGGCGTGGCCGTGCTGGCCAAGAGGTTCATCGACTTCTGGTACGACCCGCAGGACCAAGTCCAGTGGCCAGGCAGAGCGTGTGTTGGGTACGCTCGACTGCCAGGGATGGGCGTGGTGGCGCTGTACTCGGTCTACCTCGAGGTCAACGTGGGGCTCAAGGGCCAGAACCTCGACATCCTCTACAAGTTGCGCGAGCACCAGGCTCGCCACGGCCTGCCATGGGTCATGGGAGGCGATATGAACATGGACCCCGCAGAGCTCGCCAGCTTTGCAGGCTTCCGTGCACCAGGCATCCAGGTGCACGCGCCGACGGACCCGACGTGCCACGGCAGCGGCGGGACCCACTACATCAGGGACTACTTCGTGACAGGAGGCCGCGCTGGCCTGGCCATGCAGGTGCCCGTCGCCAACACCTCGCTCGAGCTGCCCACCCACGACGTGGTCCACATGAGCGTCAGCAAGCGCGCCGAGTGGCCCACAGTGAGGATGCCGCTCAGCACCGCGCACATGCCCACCACGGTGCCTGTGGGACCCCGTCGGGAGCCGCCCGACTGGACGGCGACGCAGCACGTGCTCGATGAGACCTACCAGCAGTTCGTGGGTCACGACGGACAGCAGGCGCAGACGTTTGCCGACCGCCAGGCGCAGGTGGACAGGGCCCACGAGGTGTGGCTCGGCACGGCGCGCCAGGACTTCCAGGGCATCGTGGACCGCGACGCCAGGGCCATGCAGCTCTGGGGGGGCCCATCCAGTTCAAAGAGGTAACCCTGCCCGAGATCTGGACCACTAAGGCCAACGGCAAGACCACGCCAGGTCGTGCGCTCACGTGGCTATCTGGGCAGCTGCGCCAAGTTCGAGGCCTCTTGAACATCTATCTTGATCGCCAGGCTCACCCGGGTGGCTTTGACCAGCGAGGCTGCCCAGGCCGACGCCTCAGAGGTGCCATCGCACGCTGCCGTGAAGGGATGCAGCGCTCAGGCAAGTTCGGCGCCGCGTACCACACCCTTGGCGATTACGACGACTGGTACCAGATCGTGCAGGTCGTCTTGGACCGAGTCGGCGATGTTATCAGCGGGGCCGTGGCGAACCCCGAGACCGACGTCGACCTTTCGGTGCTGCCCCTGTACGACAAGGTCCTGCAGGGGTGGGCAAGTATTGCACGAGCTTGTCAGCAGCAGGATGGAGACGGGCCGCCTGCTGCCATGGGGCTCCCACCAGGGCCCTTGCCGCCGACGCAGGTCGACAGGTGGCACTCCCTGCGTGACGACATTCGGGTGTGGGCCGCTTTCTGGATCGACAACCTGGCAGGCGAGCAGTACTTGGATAAGAATGACTTCGTAACTTGGTGTGAGGCCTACTTGGAAGAGTTAATGCAGACAGTCAGGCGCTCCTCCATCCGAGAGTGGCTTCTCTCAACGCGCCCAGGGCGCACGCTCGCACAGATCCTGGCAGAGGTGTGCGAGGAGGCCTGGGAGTACACCACCCGCGACAGGCGCGAGTTCTTCCGCCAGATCAGCGCAGACTCGGAGCTCAACAATGACCAGAGGGCACGAGTGCTCGTCAACATGAGCAGCATGCGCGACCAGATCCGCCAGATGTTCAGGAACCTCCTGGGCACCAGGGCGCCACCGTCTTCCTGGGGACCTCGCCCAGGCAGGGGCCCACCCGAAGAGTACTACGACGACCAGGATCGTCACGGCCTGGGTGGGGAGGGATTCGGCCCCTCGTCGTCACACCACCCAGGCCACACGGAGGGCGACTTCGGCAACTCCAATAGCAACGAGTACGTGTCTGCGGAATGCCTGGAAGCACCTAGCTGGCCAGCGCCCAGCAGCGGGCGGGAGCTCGGTGACCTTGGAGACCCCGCAGCAGCGCCGAGAAGGTCACC